GCTGGCCCCTGAATGCTGTTCCTTACCTCCCCGAGGGCCAAGCACCCTCTGGCTCACCAGGGAGGACCCTGGCGGTGGTGCTGAGCTTGGGGATATAGCCAGCCCGGGTAAGAGCTTGGGGGTTGGGGGCTGCTCTCAGGTGGAGGGCACTGATAGCTGGGTCTCCCACAGGTGCGGACGCGGTTCCCACCAGAGCCCAATGGCATCCTGCACATCGGTCACGCCAAGGCCATCAACTTCAACTTCGGCTATGCCAAGGTGAGGCCCTCTGGCCTGGCACCTGTTGCACATGCCATCTGGGTCCTGCCCCCTGTGCTGAGTGGCTCCGGGAAGCGGCAGGGGGCAGGGCGCTGGCGCAGGGGGCTATGCAGGGTTGACCAGGCCGTGCCCCTCCCCAGGCCAACGACGGCATCTGCTTCCTGCGCTATGACGACACCAACCCCGAGAAGGAGGAGGAGAAGTACTTCACGGCCATCCGGGAGATGGTCGAGTGGCTGGGTACAGGGCACGGGGCTGTGGAGCACCACAGGGAGGGAGGGGCAGCACTGGGGCGCAGGAGCTGCTGCAGGGGTGTGCCTGGCAGGGCTGGAGGGCAGGAGCAGGGCTCTGAGCTGTGAGCCAGGCCCTGCAGATCTGGGGTGGGTGGTTGGGGAAGGTGCTGCTGACCTGGCCTGGTCCAGCCCGCTCCTCTGTTGCTGTGTGGGGTCCAGCGCTGAGGCAAGAGCCACCTGTGCCCCAGGCCTGGTGCTGAGCCTGGCACTTGGAAGCAAGGGCCCTGGTGCTGCAGGGGCGCTGGCTTACAGGCTCTCTGCTCCCTGCAGGCTACGAGCCATATGCGGTGACGCATGCGTCTGACTACTTTGACCAGCTCTACGCCTGGGCCATGGAGCTCATCCGGAGGTGACCCTGGGCCCAGGCAGAGCTGGGTGGAGGGGGCTGGGGTGGGCTGCACCAGCTGGAGGCAGGCAGGTTGGGGTCAGGCCCAAGCAGGGCAGGTGGGATGCGCTGCATCTAAGGCGGAGCAGTGGGCTCTAGTTGTCCAGCTACCCCAGTGGTGGGCTAGGCGGCGGTGCTGGAGCTGGCTCTTACTCCCTCCCTGCCCCCCCACAGGGGCCATGCCTACGTCTGCCATCAGAAGGTGGAGGAGATCAAGGGCCACAACCCGCCACCCTCGCCGTGGCGGGACCGGCCGGCAGAGGAGTCGCTCCTGCTCTTCGAGGTACTGCGCTGTGCTGGGGCATCTGGGAGCACCTTCCTCACCTGCTCCAGTCCCCCTGCTCTAGATGTTGGGGGCGGTAGCCAGCAGCCCCACTGCCAGCTCCTGCCCCATGACACCTCTCCATGGGTGAGGCGGTGGTTGAGGTCCCCCATCTTGGCAGGGTATGCACAAGGGAAAGTTTGAGGAGGGCGAAGCCACGCTTCGCATGAAGCTGGTGATGGAGGACGGGAAGATGGACCCCGTTGCCTACCGCATCAAGTACACACCGCACCACCACAGCGGGGATGCCTGGTATGCTGTCTGCTGCCTTCTGGCTTAGCATCAGGGCACGGGGGCTGTCCCACGCGTTGGGGCTTGGGGTCAGCCTGGGCTGACTGGGGCATTATGGTACCTGCTAGGGCCTGGGGGGGTGGCACTGGCAGGTGGAGCAGAGTCTGCTCCCCAAGGGTGGGCTGGGATGGGCACATAGCCTGGGCTGCGGGGCTGGCAGGGAGGAGCTAGGTGGTGCAAAGCGTGGCACGTTGCATGGGTCATGGCGCTGGTCCCAGGCGCTCAGTCCCTGTTGCCTTCCAGGTGCATCTACCCCACGTATGACTACACTCACTGTCTGTGCGACTCCATCGAACACATCACCCACTCGCTCTGCACCAAGGAGTTTCAGGCCAGGTGGGGCGGCACTGGGGAGGCTCCGGGGGTACTATAGGGCCAGGCCAGGCATTGCCAGGGGGCAGGGGGATGCTGCTCCAGACTGGCTGCGTGGGGTCTGCAGGGCACAGGTTGGAGGGCACAGGGGCTGTGCCAGCTGCAGGCAGTGATGGGGTTCCCCGGCAGGCGCTCGTCCTACTTCTGGTTGTGCAACGCCCTGGACCTGTACTGCCCCGTGCAGTGGGAGTATGGGCGTCTGAACCTCCTCTACACCGTTGTCTCCAAGCGCAAGATCATCAGGCTGGTGGAGACAGGTGCTGTCAGGTGAGGGCCAGGCCCGGGCCTGGGGCCAAGCACTCGGGGCTGGGACTGGCCGTGCCCTCCAACTGACTGCACATGCTGCCATTGTAGGGACTGGGACGACCCACGGCTCTTCACACTGACAGCGCTGCGGCGCCGAGGCTTCCCTTCCGAGGCCATCAACAACTTCTGTGCCCGGGTAGGTGCTGCGAGGGGTGGACAGGACTGTGCCACCCTCCTGGGCAGGCAGGTAATGATGCAGTGTCCCTGCAGGTGGGGGTGACGGTGGCCCAAGCAACAATGGAGCCACACCTGCTGGAGGCCTGCGTGCGGGATGTGCTGAACGAGCAGGCGCCTCGTGCCATGGCTGTGCTGGACCCACTCAGAGTCACCATTACCAACTTCCCAGCTGCAAAGGTGAGGCTGCTGGGGATGGGGTAGGGGGCTTTGCACGGACCAAGCCGCCATGCCAGTGCTGCCCACCCCACCTGACCCCCACTCTCCTCCATAGGCTTTGGAGGTCCCAGTGCCCAATTTCCCAGCTGATGAGACCAAGGGCTTCCACCATGTGCCCTTCCTGCCCACCCTCTACATCGAGCAGAGTGACTTCCGGGAGGTGAGCCAGGCGGCTGGGGGCTGCTGGGAGCCAGTGCTGCCCAGGGGCTGAGCGGCTGTGCCAGTAGGCCAGGACAGCCATGGCCTGACTGCGATGCCCAGCCCTGATGCAGCAGGTTTCCCAGCAGGTGTTGGAGAAGGGCTACAAGCGCCTGACTCCCGGGCAGCCGGTGGGGCTGAGACACACGGGCTACATCATCGCCGTCCAGAACATCATCAAGGTGAGTCTGGACAGCCTGGTCTGGTTCAGCACCAGGCGCGGGGGGTGGAGCTGGCACCCACCCTGGGAGAGGGGCTCACTCCTGATGGCTCCCCTCTGCCCCAGGATGCCAGCGGGCATGTGACTGAACTGGAGGTGACCTGCACACGGTCGGACGCCGCGGAGAAGCCCAAGGCCTTTATCCACTGGGTGTCAGAGCCGCTGGTCTGTGAGGTTCGGCTCTATGAGCGCCTGTGAGTACCACCTGCCCCACGCTGTCTTCACACACGTGGCAGTGCTGGGACAGAGCACCCTAGGGTCCACGCTTCCCCCTGCCATGGGAGGAAGCTGCACCAAGCAGGTGCCAGGAGCAGGGGCGAGCGGGGCTGACACAGCCCTGTCTGATTGTAGCTTCCTGCACAAGAACCCGGAGGACCCCGCGGAGGTGCCGGGCGGATTCCTAAGTGACCTCAACCCCGTGAGTGGGCAGGGAGGGTGCGGCAGCTGGTGGGGGCCCTGGGAGGGTGGCTGCTGGGGCAGGGGAGCCCTGGGCTGCAGGAGCCAAAGCCATCCCCCTGCGCTTGGCATCTGTGGCGGAGGCAGGGAGCAGAGCCCGGGCTCCAGCCACCGTGCGGTGGGGGAGGGGGGGAGCAGCGCCCGCGCCCCAGCCACTGTGCGCTGCTTCCCCCAGGACTCGCTGCAGGTGGTGGAGGATGCCTTGGTGGACCGCTCTGTGCAGGCGGCGCGGCCCTTCGACAGGTTCCAGTTTGAGCGCCTGGGCTACTTCTCGGTGGATCCCGACAGCACGGAGGAGAAGGTCCGTGTGCCTCTCGCCCCCGCCAGCCCTGCCGGGCACTGCCTGCCACGGGGTCCAGGCCGTGCTCAGTGTCTCTCCCCCTCCCCAGGTGGTATTCAACCGCACCGTGACCCTCAAGGAGGACCCGGGCAAGGCCTGAGTGGCCGGAGCCACTGCTGCTGCCCTGGCGCCGGCGTCTGCACAGGAGCGGCCCCTTCCACCGGCCTGGGCACGGGTGGGGGCAGGCGCTCGGCCAGACCCAGGCCCTGCACAAGCGCGAGAGCCACAGCTGCCTTAATGCGGGGCCGCTCGCCCGCTCCAGCACCTCCCTCAATAAACCTGAGCACTGCAGCTACTGCCTCTCCCTCACTGCGGGGCGGGGGGGGGGGCGCAGCTGGGCACCAGTGCCCCACCAGAGGTGTGCATGCGTGCGCGCCTGGACGTTCCATGCCTGTGATTGCGTGTGCCTCTGCATAGTATGTACCGTGTTTGCCCTGGTGTGTGTGTGCGTGGTACATGTCTGCGTGTGCCTGCCTGATATAGCAGGGCGCACTCAGGCATGTACGTGTATGTGTGTACTTGCCTGGTACGTGCCTGTGCGTGTGTGCCACTATCCGCGTGGGCCCTGGCACGTGCACGTGTGTGTGGGCGGGCACGTGTGTGCGTGTGCAGGCCTGCAGTCCGCAGGGGCCCGGCGCGAAGGAGACGGAACGCCAGCGGACGGCCCT